GTGAAAGACTTTCTTCACTGGTACATGAAGTGCCCCAACTACAGGGAGGTGCCCATCCTGTACAAGTGCCATGGCAACATAGAATGTTCCTAGAACCTGAACTTTGGACAATTTTAGAGGTCTGATATGTACTGTTGGCATTCCCAAGTGCATCTGGTACTTCAAGGGAATATCGAGAGCTGCAAATTGGAACTGAAGGAGGACATTTATTAGACACACTCAACCTGTGGAGATGAAAGATTCACTTGGGAATCTTGTTAAAAGTAGATTTTGATTCCGAATATCTGGGGTCCACCACTTAACTGTCAGTTTGTCGTACTGTGGTGGCTTGTGTGTTGCTGTGATGCTGGAAGCTCTGTCACTAATATCTCAAATACCAGGATGGTCATCCAAAATGAACAGGTTTCAGCAGGGCTTTTGGTCTGTGAACAGACTATGTAGAGGGAATGGGTTGTGCAATCGGAGGAATTAGCCACTAACAACGTTATGGATAGCAGCCGAGCTCTGTCGGATACTGAAAACCTCATGAATGGCAACCGACTCTTGTCAGAGATAGTGCTAGAAGATGAGCCCCTAAGGTCAGAAGGCACTACCCGTCCCTGGAGAAGGACATCATGCTCGGTAAAGTATTGGGGCAGGGAAAGAGAAGAAGACCCTTGGCAAGATGATTGGCACCGTGGCTGATACAGTGGCCTCAAGCATAAGAACAATTGTGAGGATGGCAGAGGAATGGGCAGAGTTTTGTTCTGCTGTGCTGTGTTAGCCCAGGTTGACTAGAGAAACAGATCCAGGGATACACATCTGCATGAGAGAGCTTTATATCAAGAAGTTATTATATGTCAAGCAATCACCCCAGCCCATCCCAGATCAAGTCCATAAGTCTGATACTAATACATAAGTCTGATACTAGTCCATAAACCCCTCTTCAGACTCAGGCAGCCACACGCAATGATGCAGAATGCAGGAAGATCACCGGCTGGTGGGTGCAAAGTCCTGTGGATCCAGTGGTGGTGGAAGCATCTCCAGGGCTCAGTGTGACTCATCAACAGGAAGGTGAAGGCAGAGAGATAGCGGGAAGGTTCCCAGGACCCTCCTTATGAGAAGGTCATGCCCACAAAAAGGTACCATCAGGCTGTGGCCTGATTGACAGGCTAGACTCCACCCTTTCACCCTATTTTTCAAGTTGAGATGAGATTACGTAACTACCACATGTACATAGGGTCACTATGAGTCAGAACCAATTCAATGGCACCTAACAACAAGAACAACGACAACGTATCTGGGGTGGAAGGACGAATTCTTAGTGGAAGTGGTTGAACTGGAATGAACCAGTTCAAAGCCCGGAAAACTAGTTGATGAGTTATTTCTACATTTTTAACCAGGGCTTTTAGAAGAATCACTTAGGGGTCATGTTAAAATGTCAATGTTGATTCAGTATGTCTGCGATGGAAAGGCCAATTCTCAAAAGGGAATAACCAGAATGAGCCGAATCAAGCCCTGCCTCTCTAAGCTCTTTCCCCTGTTGCTCTCGCAGGTGCTTGTGGTGGTGGTGGTAGTATCAAACTCACCAAACTCTGGCTTTGAGTCATTCCAACTCATAGTGAGCTTACAGGGTGGAGCAGAACTGACCCCAGAAGGTTCCCAAAAGTTGCAAATTGCGACAGAAGACGACTGCCACATCTTTTCCCTGTAGAGTGGATGGTGGGTTTGAACCTCCCACCTTCAGTTAGCAACTGTCTGTTTAACCATTGTGCACGGGGGCTCCGTGGTAGTGGTTTAGATAGTTAAAGCATGAAGCATAAACTATGGAGATCATCAGTCTAGTTCAAATCTTGAATTGGTTCTTTACCAACTGTTGATCTTTGGCAAATTAATCTCTGGAAGTCTCCATTTTCTCATCTAACAAATGGGGATATAGTGCTAACCTTGAATGGGAACATAGAGAGAATCCGGCATAATGCTAGGCCGCAGTAAGGTCAATAACTTTAGTTACTATCTATGCTTATTAGGTGGTACCTGAATGTTAGACATGAAGAATGGGACCGGAATAGCCAGAAGTTAAAAGAAAATATGGATGCATTGGGGGAACTGAACCATTTATATAGAGATTTTCACATGGGAACTTAATTTGCTCTGTAAACTTCCACCAAAAACAAAGTGCAAACCAATGGTAAAGCAATTGAGGAAATATTAGCATCATTTTCTAAAGATTTGTAGAGGCAAATTACTTGAGGGTATTGGAAGCAGAGCTTGGAGATTGGGGAAATAAAACCATGAGCTTATGAGCCCATTCCTTAGCGTGCCCCTGTCTGGTGCATAGCTTGTGGGCAGTGCGTGAGTAGTACATGCTTAACATGTACGTGTGGTTGATTGGCTGTACAAGACAGTCAAATACACTGTTTCCCAACCCAAGCCCCCATTCCTGTGTGTGCAGTTCATTGTATGAAGCAGGTTTCTCAACCTCAGCATCGCTGGCGGTTTGGGCTAGACACTTCTTGTCGTGTGGCTCTATGCTGTGCCCTGTACGAAGATTAGCAGCATCCCTGGGCTCTACCCACGAAATGCCAGGGGCACCCCTCCAGTTGTCACAACTAAAAATGTCTACAGATTTTGCCCCATGGTCCCTAGGGGCAAAATTGCCCCAGTGGAGACTGACTAAATGTAAACTCCAAGGAAAAACATTTATGGAAGACTACTTCCCCATAGGGAGCCTTGATGGCATAGTGGCTTTGGGATGCTAACTAACTGTGCCGTCAGTTGTTTGAAAGAACCAGTCACTGAGCAGGAGAAAGATGGGGCTTTCTCCTCCCGGACAGAGTTCTGGTCTAAGATGCGCCCACAGGCAGTTCTTCTGGCATCGAGTTGCTCTAAGTTGGCATCGACTCGGTAACAGTGACTTTGTTTTGTTTTGCTTTTGGGTGGTTATTCAGTGGTTACTCTCCGCTAGAGTCTTTAAGTGATTTCTCCAACTACGTCCGTTGTTCAGTTGTATGACACCCTCATGGCATAATGGGTTCTTACTTCTCAGAATAGCACTGATGATTAATTTTTCTTTAAGAAAAAACAGATTTGAATGCCTTAAAATATATGTATTTTAATGGTTTTATTGATATATAATTCATCTCATGCAATTCAATAGTTCAATCCTGTTTAAAAGAATTGTGCGATCATCACCTCAGTCAATTTTAGAGAGTGTTCTTGCTTGTGCTCATTGTTGCTAGCTCCCCATTTCCTCACAACCACCCTGTCATAAAATATATTGAGTCCAGATGTTTTAATAAAAACACTTGTGTATTTCTCTGTGTTGATACACTTTAAGTTTTTTTTTTTTTTATGTTTCTTGTTCATGCTTTTGAACATCAGCTGCGATTGTTCCATTCGAAGATAACCCCTGAGTCACACAATTTCTGATTCTGGGTAGTCTATTTCTATCCTCTTATTTTGTACATGAAGGGCCTGGGCAGCAGGTAGGTTAAGTATCCTAGAACTAGTCTATGGTGCCATAACTAGTTAAGAGTCTGGGACAATGTCTTTAGTCATTTATTGATTTATATATTTATTAAAAGCATTTTATTGGGGCTCGTACAACTCTTACTACAATCCATCATCAATTGTGTCGAGCACATTTGTGCAGTCATCATCATCCTTAAAGCTTTTCTTTCCACTTAAGCCCTTGATATCAGTCCTCATTTTTCCCCTTCCCTCCCCCACCACCCCTTCCTCATGAACGCTTGATAATTCATAAATTATTATTATTTTGTCATGTCTTACACTGTCTGAACAATGTCTCCCTTCATCCACTTTTCTGTTGTCCATCCCCCAGGGAGGGGGTTATATGTAGATCATTGTAATAGGTTCCCCTTTCTCCCCCACCTTCCCCTTCCCCTCCTGGTATCACTACTCTCATTATTGGTCCTGAGGGCTTTATCTGTCCTGGATTCCGTGTGTTTGTGGTAAGGAGCCCTGGTGGCACCATGGTTAAAGTGCTTGGCTGATTACTAAAAGATCAGTGGTTCAAACCACCACCACCACCCCGGTTGCTCTGCAAGAGAACGCTGGGACAGTCTGCTGATGTAAAGATAAACCGCCTTACGAGCCCATGGGGCAACTCTGCTCTGCTCTGCAGGGTTGCTGTGGCATGGAATCAGCTTAAGGCCAGTTGGTTTGGTTTGGGAGGTTAGGTTAGTAGAATGGATGATACAATCCATTTGTATCAAGATCCCTACTTAATTCTAATTAACGACCTCTGAGAAATAAAATGCACTTTTCAAATTTACTTTAGGGAGACAAATCCATATGTTTGTTTGTGTTGCATCTTCCAGAAAATGACATCTCCTGTATTGTCTGGAAGGTTTTAAGCCTTATATGTTCTTCTGTGTATTAATCAGCAAAACCAAAATAAGAACCAACAGAATAAATCCTAAACGAATGGGGCCACGTGTGCTGTCAGCGGTAGCAATAGTAAAGATTTTAACAGGATTGACCTGGGTTTGTCTTCTTGGAATTTACCCTACAAGCACCCTTTCGGGATATTTGAAATTGCAGCTTCAGGAGTCTACCTCTTAATATAGAAGTCTGGTTGACATAAAAAGCTCGGGTATTAACCACAAGGTTAATGGTTCAAACCCACCCCGAGGTGCCTAGGAAGACAGGCGTGTGGGGCAGTTCTGCTCTGCATTTAGGGTGTCACCGTGAGTCAGAATCGACTCCATAGCAACTGGCTTGTGTGTTTTTCACTCACATCTGCTCGTACAGAGGTTACTCTTGTTGTTGGTCAGAGCTGTCGAGTTGCCCCCAACTCTTCGCAACCCTGTGGACAACAGATCAAACACCGCCCAGTCCTGCGCCAGCCACACAATCGTTCTTATGTTTGCAGCCACGAGCCCGTCCATCAGGTCGGGGGTCTTCTCTTTCTTCTGACCCCTCTGCTTTTACGGAGATCAAAGTCCTTTTCCAGGGACTGGTCTTTCCCGATAACGTATCTAAGGTACGTGAGACGAAGTCTCGCCGCCCTTGTTTGTAAGGAGCCTTCTGGCTGTACTTTTCCCAAGAGAAATTTGTTTGTTCTTTTGGCTGTCGATGGTACTTTCAGTATTCTTCACTACACCATAATATATAGATAGCTCTCAGTTTTTCACTTTGAAAGTATTAGCACACCATCCCAGTCTCAAAGCTTGGCTATTAAGAAATGGGTGTGGTACCTAGGTGCTTATTATTGTAGTACTTTTATGAATGCTTGAAATATTTTATATTTTTCATGGATATTAGACATGGATAACCTATTGTCAATAGTGCAGGACCGTGCAGTGTTTTATTCTGTCGTGCATAGAGGCTCGATGTTACAGAACCTACTGGATGACACCTAACAAGAATAATCTAATATTAATATCGACAGAAAGGATAGCTAACTGTGTGTGTGTGTGTGTCTGTACAATCTCTGATAATGTTTTCTCAGATTTTTTTATTTCTGAGAGCAAGAGAAATGTTCTTTTAAATAACTGTTACATCATGGGTTCTTCACGATGTATTCTTTGGCAAAGAAGATGAACGAGGTTAAATAACTTAGCAGAAATTTACTAAATCATTCCCGTACAGAGAAGACTGATCTGTAAAGTTTGAATTATTGCAAGAGCTTTGAAAAATAAAAATGGTGCTAATATTTCCTGTTGGAATAAGAGTAGCTGAGACCAGAGAATTTGCTTCAAGAGAAAGAAAAGAATTAGCATAAATGTATCTCTTAACATACCTGGGCCACAGGCACAGACTGGCGCATGCCAGCCCCCATGCCATCTTGTTCTGTTGTCCGGGCTCCGCAGGCGTTGATAGCGACAGCCACCCGTATGCCAACGGGAAAAGACAGGGATCGGGAGTGACCTCGGGTTGATGAATAATCGTTCCTTCCAGTGATTAACCTTCTTGCTTCCTCCTTTCAAATTCACCCCTTTCAGGTGAAGTCGGAAGATGGCTTTGATGAGTGGGTTTCCAAACTCCGACATCATAGAATGTATCGTCAAAACGAAATCGCCATGTTTCCGTGCGAAGTGAACCACTTTTTCTCCGGGTCCACTGTCACAGACTCCACCTCCGGGGTGTTTGAGGCCGTTTCAAGTAGAAAGGTACCCAGCGCTGGCTCGGCCTGAGTCCCAAGGAGGGCAGGGCTGTGGGTGGAGCCTCATCTTGGAGACTGGATCTGAGGAGGGCCTGGGTTTGAAGGGAAAACACAGAAAGCTTTGATTTGTGTCTAGTCGTGTGTTTGTCCAATCAGACAGGGTGAGGACCAGATGGGCATAGGTCACATGTAAGGCAGTAACTGGAGTCATGGCGACACAGTGGTTACCATTTGGGTTGCTAACCGCAATGTCAGCAGTTCAAAACCACCAGCCGCTCCATCGGAGAAAGATGAGGCTTTGTACTCCCATAAAGAGTCAGGGCCTTGGAAACTCACGGGGGCAGTTCCACCCTGTCTTGTGTATGATCACTATGAGTCAGAACCGACTCTATGGAGTGGCAGGGCCAGTAATTGAAGAATAACGTTCACAGAGAAATGCAATGTCCCCAGATATTTTAGCTTTCTCTTAATGAGTTCAAGTTTGGTGTTCTTACTAGTAATAAAATGCCCTATCATGTAGCAGTTGTAAAATAATGTCCCCAGATGTTCTAGCATTCTCTTGATCGGTTTAGTTGTGGTTTTCTTATCTGGCTGCAAAATGGCACTGAGTGCCTGTGTGGCCATGGTAGGCTGATAAAATACTTCCAACCATTGATAGCAGTGTTGGCCTTTGTCGGGGAAGGGAATTAGGATGGCAGTCCAGAGCCTTGTGGCCTGCTTTGGCTGACCAGGGGAGCTGGCCTGTGATCTCGGGGCTTCCCAGAGACCTCTTCCTCATTGGAAGCAGGTGGCTACTTGTAGGCTTTATCTGAAATTGTTCCCTCGGGCTCTGTCCTCGTCTGTAATATGCTTTTGTCTTTTGTGCAACAGCGCAGCAGTATATCAAAGCAGAACTCATTTCAAACCGGCAGCAACTTGTCGTTTTCTTGCGGTGGGGACACACGAGTTCCCTTGTGGCTACAGTCTTCGGAGGACATGGAAAAATGCTCAAAAGGTGGAGTGACTGGACCTCACAGCTCTGAGGCTGCACTGACGTGGTTCTTAGACTGTCAATACATGTGTGTTCTCTATCTCCTTGTGTGCGCACTCAGAGGGCTGAACTTTCCATCTATGAGGGCTGACCTCATGTCAACAAAAGACCCTGGTTGTGGAACTCCAAGCCGCCCTCTGTTTGTGCATGTGGAAAGTGTCTCCTTCCTCCTCCTATTAGTTCTTTCCCTTTCTTCACGAGTTCCCCTGGCAGCTTCCCACATGGGCCTAACTGAACCACGGCCTCTAGAGGGAGAGTCTGGACATCTCTCTCTATTTTTCAAGCACCAGAGATGATTCAAGTACATGGCCAAGATCGAAAACCATTACTGTAGAAGTCCGTGGGCAAACCAGAGGGGGAGTCCCCATAAAACAGACTTCTCCACCCTGACTCCACCTGGAAGACATCAGGAAGGGTTTCAAGATAATCATGTCTGGGTCACTTTCCTAAGAATCTGTTTGAATTGGTTCAAGATGGCGATGGGGCATCATTAATTTTTCAAAGTGTCCCGCATGAATCTGATGTGGAACCAGCCCTGAGAGCAGCTGCTATAATGAAGCTCAGTTGTTCTCCTCTTTAATTAGCTAACAAGCACCTGGGGAACTGACAAATTCAAAAAGTGGAAGTCTTCAGTGGGGAGTGGGGAGTCCTTTGATTTTGACTGATCTGTGGTGGGATTGGGGCATATGCAATTTTCAAACATTTTCAGGTGATCCTAAAATGTAGCCTAGGTTGTGAAGCACTATTTCAGAAAGATGCCAGGTTGGTAACCTTGAAAATTGCAGGGGGGTTTCCTGTTGAATAAAATGCAAATATTATCACACCAGGGGTCCCAGAGAACTGGCCTTCCCAATAGCTGTCACTCATGAACTTCAGAGTGACAGCTTGGAGCAATGGTTCTCAAGGAGTGGTCCCTCACCTGCAGCATTGGCATGGCTAGTGAACTTGGTAGAAATGCAGAATCTTGGGCTCCCGACAAAAGTACAAAATGAGAAACAGGCCTACAGCCCCGGGATCAGTGTTTCAACAAGTTTACCTGCAAGGTCAGCCATTCAAACCCACTAGGCCAGTGGTTCTCAACCTTCCTAATGCCACGACCCTTTAACACATTTCCTCATGTTGTGGTAACCACCACCCCCACCCCCGAACCATAAAATAATTTTCATTGCTACTTCATCCCTGTAATTTTGCTACTGTTACCAATTGGGTGACCCCTGTGAAAGGGTCATTTGACCCCCAAAGGGGTTGAGACCCACAGGTTGAGAACCGCTGCATCAGGTGATTCCCCATAAGGATTTACAGTCTCAGAATCCTCTATGAGGTTATATCGGGCCACTGTGCAGCAGAATGAACTCAATGGCAGTGGGGTTGGGTGTATCCTAAGACATGGGATAGGAAGCCTTGGTTTCCAGGTCGGCTCTTAGCTGTACAGTCAGCAATTGAAACCCCCCAGCCAGTCCACTGGAGAACTGCCTTATGCTCTGCTCCTGTAAGGATTGACCGTCTCGGAAAGTTCAACATGGTTCTGTAGGGTTCCTGGTTTGCTTCTCTTTGCTTTTGGATTCTAGGACATCTGGGGCTTGATCCCTTGGCAGAAATGACCATATGCATCCAGGGCATAGCAAGTGACGGGCTCCCCTTTGAATTAGTGAATGGTTTTAGGTTCTCTCAGGTCAATTTGCAGCTGTGCGGAGGATTCTCATGGTCTGCACACAGGTTCATGATAGACTGAGGTATCCTTACTTACCACTATGGACTGCCCTTTGGTTGTATTCATGGAGTGTATCCTGAGATCTTACAAGCCAGTGTGACAGCCCTGTTGCTGCAAGACCAGGAATCACAGTGATGCTGGTAGTAGCGGATTATTCAGTGCTGTGTGCCAGGCACTCTTCTCAGTATGCTGCAGATGCCAACTCATCGAACTCCCATAACTGTCTTATGAGCCTGGTGCTATCATTATCCCCATTTTCCAGAAGAGGAAAGTCGGGTGCAGAGAAGTTCTACAATTTGTCCAAGAATCGTACCATCAAATGGACTCCAACTGAGTCCATCTGGTTCCCTATCCATACTTTTAATCCATACTGTTTCTCCAGTGGTTACTCATTGGGTTGCTAACTGCAAGGTCAGTAGTTCAAAACCACCCGTAACTCTGCAGAAGAAAGACAGGGCTTTCTATTCCGGCAGAGAGGAACAGTCTCAGAAACTCACAGGCATTTCTAGCCGATCTCACAGGGCCACTATGAGTCCACATTGACTCAGTAGCGGTGAGTTTGGTTTGGGGTTTGGTTTCTCTAGTCGTGAAGGAAGTAAAAATGTCTTATTCTTGCAAATGGAAAAGCCGATTGAGATAGATAAGAAGAGTAGGTGATGCCCAACATGATAAAGCTTGCATACCCAGACAGTTCCATGCACACTCCCTCCTCTTCTTGCCAGTGGAGAGTTAGAAGCACTCTTTGCTCTCTCCCTCAGACCTGGCGCACTGTCACACCTACCTGGTGGAGATGAGCCAACTGCTGCAGAGTATGGACGTTCTGCACCGAACATATTCAGCACCAGCCATCAACGCCATCCAGGTGAGCGAGCGCCCCCCTTTGGTGTGCACGGTGGCCTCCTCCTGCTTTCCGTTCTCCTCCCCAGCCTTTGACTAGCCGTGGGACGGTGGCTGGTGGGCCGCTCGGCCACACTTGAGGGTGCTGGAGCTATTTTGCCATGGTCTGCGTTCATCCATCTTTGGTTTGGATGCCCTGACTGTCTGTGCTCTCTTTCCTGTTTTCAAAAAAGGGTGGAGCTTTTGAAAGTCCCAAAAAGGAAAAAAGATCGCACAGGAGGTGGCGGTCCAGAGCTATTGGCAAAGATGCTAAAGGAACGCTGCAGGTAACCATTGCTCCCCCGGACAGGCTCGCTTCTTCACTGGCCTTGCTGTGCTCGCCATGTGCTGGGGGCTGCCTTCACCCTAGAAGAGAAGAGAAGAGACCATGCATGTCCTATGTGCAGAGCTGAATTCAGTCACTTCGATATCGAATACATTATGCTATGGATTTCCGATGCGGGAGAAAATAGTGAAGGAAGAATGGTGGGAACCTCGAAGTCTACAGCCCTCGACAGGTCTTTGGTCTCCCCTTCTCTGCTGCTGAGCTTGCCTTCTTCCCTGCTTGGGAGAGTGCTTATCTGTGGGAGGCGTGGCTGCTCGCTCTCACCCTCCTGTGCTGCTGCTGATGGCCAGTGACCCGAGTCTCTACGAGCGGGACCTTGTACCGACACCCTTTTACCTCTGGTTTCCCAACTCCCAATCCCCCAGTGAACCAGAGGTCCACAGCCAGCAGCTGTCTTTCCCAGAGGCCACGTTTTAGAGATGGGTCTTCGCCTATTCAGTTGCCTCGTTGTCAGAGTCAAAGCTAAGCATAAGCCTTCACGTCAGTAATCTGACATACTCTTCAGTTGGAAGCGTTTTAGGGGTTGACCTTAAATGATTTCAAAGAAAACCGTGTGAGAAGTCGCTTGGTGTGGGGGCAGTTCCAGGTGTGAGCTTGGTAGAAGCATTTTCAAGTCAATCCACCAGTCACAGCCAAAGTATGAAAAATTGTTGCCAGGAGAGTTGATTTTAAATGAGAAAGAGCCCAGCTCCTTGGCTGTGGTTTTCCACCTGCAGCATTCACACTCCTGTAATTTCCAAAAGAAGGTCCGATTTCTCACTATGCATTGCGATTTCTCCAGAAGCCAGGAAAGCGTTCTCCTGAGTTTGGGTTTAGTTGTTCTGGAAGTAGCCTCCGTTAGGAATTGCCCCCCTTGTGTTACTCTCCAGGCTTAGACCCAGGTAAGCCCTGTACGTAATCCGCAACTGGAAGGCAACAGCTTCGTTTGGTGTGACTTTAGGTGCCTAAGCCTTTTCCTGGCCCGTTAAGACTGCACTCCTCCAACCCGAACTTATCAACGCTGGATTTCGGGGAAGAGAAAAATCACTCTGATGGCTCTGAAACCTCGTCGGAGTTTTCCAAAATGCAGGAAGATCTGTACCACATTGCCCATAAAGGTAAGCGGCTTTCCTGTCTCCGGAATGTGTGGTGAGCACGTTAAGTGTGTGTTTGAATGAGATGACCTTGCAGAGGGTGTGTTCCTTGGCCGATGCTTGGCTCTATTAAGATGTGGGGCACCTTCATTTTTAAAATTTTATTTTATCTGCTTGGCTTCCTGGGAAAAATGTCTTGGCCAGAAGTTGACTTTGAATCTCCTATGGGAAGCAATGAAAATGTTAAGTATACTGAGCAAGTCACCTACTGCTGATGGAAGTATAAATTGATACTCATCCGAAGGGCAAGATCAGATTCCGACTTCTTTTTAGCATATGATATCCTGCTCCAGCAATTTTGCTTTGAAGAATTCTTTGGTAGGAATTCATTTAAAATCTTAAAAATGATCCAAATAAACATACCCATTGTGGCATTGTTTATCATATACAAAATCAGTGATAAATGGTCAACATCAATAGCCATCCTCACCCCAAACTCACTGCCCTTGAGTCTGTTTCAATTCAAAGTTAACCTTGTAATTAACCTTCTAGGGCAGAGGAGACCTGCCGTTGTGGGTTTCTGAGACTAACTCTTTCCTGGGGTAGACTACCCCATCTTTCTCCAGAGGGATGGCTGCTGGTTTTGACCTGCTGACCTGGCTGTTAGTCTAACACATCGCTCACTACACCACCAGGGCTCCTCTTCATTGACCCTTAGGAAAATGCATATTAAAATCATGATAAGGACTGCCTGGTGTCTCATTGCCTTTAGCCACAGGCTGCCTCTAAACCCCGGACCCCCTCCAAATTTCTACAAACGGAGAAAGGCTAATCTAATCGGCTCTGGCCACCACCTCTAGGCAAAGAAGAGACGAGGACTGTTTCATGTTGTGTCCTTGTGGAGGCCAACAGCCAGCTGCAAAGCCAGCCCTTGGAGCGTGACCAGGGTCAGGCATTTGGGCTTCCGGAGGTACAGGGATGCACCAAGGGCCACCTCAGGAAGGGGCCCCCAGTGCACAAAGAAGATGGCTTTGGAGCAAGAATTTGGAATATGCATTTAAGTTGTAGTGCTTTGCATTGGAAACCCCTGACAAAAAAAACCTGCCCAGTAAAAAAAAACCATGATAAGGCGTCACTATGTACTTGAGGGTGTGGGTAGAGTAGGGCTTCAGAAAGTTCATGGGGAAAAATCCATTATCTTTTAATTCTATTCTTTTCACAAACTTTTTAGTCTTGATACTAAAGCAGCTAAGATTAATTTTTTAAAGTACTTTACATATCAAATACTTGTGAGGATATAGAGAAACGGCATGTTTCAAATATCACTGGGGGCAGAGTGGAGTAGAATGGTAAAACTTATACAGGGACCTTAGAAACAGTTGAGCCACTTCATTCTAGGTTTTGTTGTTTATTGTGAAACGAGTGTGCCCGTACAACCCAGCAGATGGCTGCACGCTTGCACACTAAGCCTGAACAAAACAGTCCAGACAAAACCCTGCACACCGCGGTCCAGAGCAGCTGTATCCGCCATCGTCTGGGAACAAAACACCGGGAACAACCCAGGTGTCTCTCAACAGATAAATAGTTAAGCAACCGATGGTGCATCCATACCAGGAGGGAACACTCCTCAGCTATTTAAGAAATGCACTATTGATCCACCGAGCGTCTTGGATGGACCGTCAGGGCATTATGCTAAGTGAAAATAGCCCATCTCAAAAGGTTATAATCTGTATTCTTCTTCCACGCATACAACATCCTTCTGGAGAAGGACCATGCTTTCTACGCCGGTCAAGAGTGACAGTCTGTGAAATCACGGGCGGTTCTGCCTTGTGCTTCAGGGTCGCTATGCGTCAGCGTTGACTTGATGTCAGTGAATTTGAGTTTGGGGTTGTTTTTTTAATCATTTTATTGGGGGCTCGTACAACTCATCACAATCCATACATACATCCATTGTGTCAAGCACATTTGTACATTTGTTGCCATCATCATTCTCAAAACATTTACTTTCTGCTTGAGCCCTTGGTATCAGCTCCTCATTTTTCCCCTCCCTCCCCACTCCCCCCACCTCATGAACCCTTGATAATTTATAAATTATTATTATTTTGTCATATCTTACATGGTCCACCATCTCCCTTCACCCACTTTTCATCTGTCCATCCCCCAGGGAGGAGGTTATATGTAGATCCTTATAATCGGTTCCCCCTTTCCACCCCACCCTCCCTCCACATTCTCAGTGAGTTTGAGTTTTGAGGGCATCCTTGAAATGGCAAAATTAATCAAGAGGGAGATAAGTTAGGGATTGCCAGTGGTTGGGAAAGGGGAGGAGGAAAAGGGAGGAGCCTAGGTGTGGCTGTAAAGGGGGATCTTAGGATGACAGCAGGGTCTGTGTCTTGATTGTGATGGTGTTTATACCAATATGATAAGACACATGTGGTAAGACAAACTGACGCTTGTAAAACCCCTGGAGTCTGACGAAGAACTGTAGGCGATAGCCAGGGCCCTTTCCTGATTTTGCTAACTGGCCCATCACTGTGAACCACGTCACCGTGTGGAGGAACTGAGTACAGGGCCGCCCAGCTCTGCCCTGCTGTGTGTGCAACTTCTTACGGACCTACGACGATTTCAAATTTTTTAAAGATTTTCAGAAGTCTTTAAATAGAGTATGGATATTTTTTGATGCAGCAGTCAGAATAACAGTAATGGGAATAACGACCTTACAAAAGGAAAGAGCACTGCCTTATACTGAGCACATGTCCTTCACTGAGGCATTTGCTAAGCACTTGGAGCGCATTGTGTCTGCAATTGTAGCCACAACTCAGAGAGTACGTATTAGCACAACCGCTATCACACTCTGGAATCCAGAGACTTGGGGATGCCAAAGAATGGCTCGAGAGGCACATGCTGCAGGAGAGCAGCCTGGGGCTCAAACCCGAAGCCACTTGACTCCAGAGTCTTTGTTCCAAACCTGGTGTCACTGCCATCGTGGAGGGGGGGGTCCGGGCGACTTTTTATTAACAAAGAAAGATGTTAGCAACGTGTCATTCAGTGAATATAAAAGGTTACGAAATAATATATGTGAATAATTCCTTTTATAAATGAAACTATTAGGGCATCCATTATCATTAGGCCACATTAGGTTTTGTGGGAGGAAATTCCTGCAGTCAGACTAAACTGCCAGGAAGGGAGGCCATCACACGAGCATTTTTGTGATGGAGGGTGGAGTTATACATGACTATGATCTCCTTTCTCCTTATCTGTTTTACTTTCATTTTTTATATGTTGCTCCTTGTTTTTAAGGGGAAATGGGTTAAAATGTTTAATTGGGAGGACAGTGCAGTTTCTTTCTTTGCATTGTTTATTCCTTCAGCTCTCTCCTCCCAACCTCCAAAATCTGAAACATAGGCCAACACTGGCCAGAAGGAAACCGTTTTGTGCTGTGAAAACATTCCACCTCCATCCTGCCCTATCAGGTCCCTTCAGAACCCTTCATGGTCGGCCCGGCTGCTGTGTCTCCCCTTCTAAGATGGGAAGAGGTGCCGCCCTGGCCTCTTAAAAGCATTTCAAACACCCACTTGGGCATTCTCCAATATTAAAGCATCTATTGTTGTTAGGTCATTTTAGGTTTCTGGGGGAGGAAATGCCTATCAAACACCATTCGTTTTTAATAGTGTGAACTGTCTTGTTAAAAGTAAGAAGATAATGCCTCCCTGCAGAAGACAAAACCCCTGCATCTCGCCTCGTTGCAGCAGCTGCTTGCTCAGCAGGACAGAGGTGGCTTATTGACTCACTCCATTGATCCGTCCACCTGCAGCGGTCTGGGCCTCTGTAATGACAGTCTGTAATGGACCTCAGCCAGCTCCTCTGACTTCCCTGCTTTGTGGAAAGCAGCTGACTGCAGAGCTGCCGCAAGCTTAGCCCAGGTCAAAGTTGTGTGCTGAGAAAGACCCAGGTGTATTGTTCAATAACAGCCTGAGCCCCATGCACTGGGGAACAGTGAATTCCACAGGGAGTCCGAGAAATGTCTTTCTTTCCTGTGCTTTTAAGCTACACTGGCAGAGACCGAAAGAACTCCCCCTCTTTAATTCAAGGAGTACCTTTAAGACAGGCCCTGGTGGTGTAGTGGTCTGTGATCAGCATCGTCAGCAGTTTGAAACCACCAGCAGCTCCATGGGAGAAACTGGCTTGTCTACTCTGTAAATAGCTACAGTCTCGTAAACCCACAAAGGGTCGCTCTGGGTCAGCATTAACGCAATAGCAGCAAGTTTGGGTTTTGGGGGATAATTCAGGGACCTCATAGAATAAAGACAGTTGTTAAATTGACCGTAAGTCCTATGATCTCATGTGCTCTTTCACTTCCATACGTGAACACTGAAGCATCTTGCTCTTTGGTCTCCAGGTGAGCCTTAGGACTGTTAGTTCACCAACAGTTACTCCCGTTCTTTCTTCTTCTTTTCGTTTTTTAATCATTTCACTGGAAGCTCATACAATTCTTACCACAATCCATACATCCATCCATTGTGTCAAGCACATTTGTATATTTGTTGCCCTCATCATACTCAAAACATTTGCTTTCTACTTGAGCCCTTGGGATCAGCTCCTCATTTTTCCCCTCCCTCCTCGCAACCCTTCTTTCATGAAACCTTGATAATTTATAAATTATTATTATTTTGTCATGTCTTACACTGTCCAACGTCTCCCTTCACCCCTTTTTCTGTTGTCCGTCCCCCAGGGAGGAGGTTATATGTAGATCCTTTTAATCAGTTCCCCCTTTCCACCTCTCCCTTCCTCCACTCTCCCGGTATCGCCACTCTCAGCACTGGTCCTGAGGGGTTCATCTGTCCTGGATTCCCTGTGTTTCTGTTTCCTACCTGTACCAGTATACATCCTCTGGTCTAGCCAGATTTGTAAGGTAGAATTAGGATCTTGATAGTGGGGGGCGGAAGCATTTAAGAACTAGAGGAAAGTTGTATGTTTCATCATTGCTACATTGCAACCTGACTGGCTCGTCTCCTCCCTGTCGACCC